AAAAAAAAAAAAAAAAAAAAAAATTAGCCAGACGTGGTGGCGTTGCACCTATCGTCCCGGCTACTCGGGAGGCTAAGGCAAGAGGATCAATTGAGTCCAGGGGGTCGAGGCTGTGGTGAGCCATGATGGTGCCACTACACTCCAGCCCGGGCAACAGAATGAGGCTTGACTCAAAAAACTGAAAGATTCTCATGGAGCACCACCCACCCTTTGGCTGATTTACTGATCCAATTTCCCCACCATGGGTGAAGGGCGGTGAGTGGGTGTTTTGGAAAAAAGGGAAGTCCATGTGATGGAAGATGGCGGGATGTGGAAGGAGGGCGTGCGCGATGCAAGGCTTCTGATGGTCCCATGATGCGACCACGGGCTGGCCTGTCCCACCCTCCCCTCATCTTGGATCTAGGGCTTACATGCTCAGCGTTTGGGCTGATGGGGGAAGGGGAGTCAGCTCCCGTCACGGGACAGAACTGGAAGGCCACGGTTCACTGTGGCCAGGATGACTGGGCTGCCTAGAAACCTCATGTTAATCTTTTAGCCAGTCCACACTTGTTGGGCGAGGGGGAGGGGGCGTTCTAAAACACCTTCACCAGGGCCCCATAGACAAGACCCCAGAGGGAGGGGAAGAGGGTGTCCTGAGGATGTTTTCATCTCAGTGGCTTCATAGATAAGGCCCCTGACATCACGAGGCTTAGATTTGAGTGGAAATATGGATAGCAAGCCGTCAAACACGTAAACAAGCAAGATAGTTTCAGAGAGTAGTAAGTGATGTGAAGGGTAAAAGACTGGTTCGGGCCGGGCTCGGTGGCTCAGCCTGTCATTCCAGCCCTTTGGGAGGCTGAGGTGCATGGACTGCCTGAGCCTGAGGGTTCGAGACCAGCCCAAGCAACTTGGCGAGACCTTGTTTGTACAATAAATTAAAAATTAGCCGGGCATGGTAGTACGCGCCTGTAGTTCTGGCTACTTGGAAGGCTAAGGTGGAAGGATTGCCGGGGTGGTCATTAGCGTGCCACTGCACTCCAGCCTGGGCAACAGAGTGAGACTCCGACTCAAAAGAAAGAAAGAAAAGGCTGGTTTGATGAAACCTGGTGCTGCTCATGGGCAGAGAGTCATGAGTTCCTCTTCAATGACAAAGTTTAGCTGAGACCTGAATTATAAGGAAAGAACAGGGCTTCGAATGTGGACTGGTCTGACTTGTCTAGAGTAGGTCAAAGCTCCTAAGTATAAGTTCCTGTAAGTTCCCTCCTCTCTGTAAGGGTGTTCAGGTCACAAACAGGCCTTGGGTACCATCCACCCCTTTTCTCGTGACACTGTCCCAGTGAGCCCCGCAAGAGCAGGGACTTGGTTTCGCTCACTGCTGGGCTCCTGGCCCCTAGAACAGCACCGGACCCACCGCAAACACCTGCAGAAGGAGCACATGGTAAAACATCTCAACCGGAGCTCACCTGTGCTCCTTCTCCAGCTCGCCCTCCTCTGGGATCCTGGTCCTAGTGCAAATGACACCTCCCTGGTTCCCCAAGCAGAGACCTGGGTGTCAGCTCTGATATCCTCCCTCCTCCGCCTGAGCGCATTTGTCACCAGGTTCTGCTGAGTTCCTTCTCAAGCCTGGGTATGTGGGTTCTGGCCTGTATGTTCTCTTGATCTATTCCTAACTCTTCCGACTGCTTCTTCCTGGGACCCCTGGCTTCCTGGCTGCCCCCTCCAGTGAATACTCCCTACATCTGCCAGACAGATCAATATAAAATATGTCCACACCATCCTAACCTCTTGGGATGGGGCCATCCCCCAACCTTATCTGTCACCCTTCTTTCCCATGCCCCCAGCCCAGGTCGTCCTAAAGTACCACCACGCCTGTCCCAGTTGGTGTTCAGTAAACGATGGCATTAAACTTGGGTGCAGCTAGGAAGTGAGCCAGCTGTGTCCAGATCACCCGGTGGGACCTGGCCTCGAGGAGGGGTGACGACTGAGGCAGGTGTGCGTGTCCCCTTCCCGAGGAGGCTCCTGGGGAAAACGGGGTCCCCTAGCTGTTGGATGAGATCCTCAGGGCAGCTTCGCCAGGCTTCCCGTAAAGCACCCATCCCCGCCAATATGCGGAATCAAGGGCATCCCGGGGGCCTGGGCCAGGAGAGATGACGCGAGCCCTTTCAAGAAATTTCATGGACACGGAGGACCCAGGAAGTAGAGGAGGGGTCATCGTGGCAGGAGGGTAGGGAGGGAGCCAGGCTCCCTGATTCACAGTGGGGTGGGTGCCTGCAAGACTCACTGGCTGTCATTCAGATCCTTTTGTCGCCCCTTGGTTTTTCAAGCAGTAGCCAAGGCCCCAGCCACGCCCGCCTCTCCTCACAGCTGCCCAGGACCAAGATGAGGGTCCTGGGATCAGACCCTGAAGACCGATGGAGAGAGATTCCAACCTGGGGGTCCCGCATGGGCCGGGCACGCCTGCGGGAGGCAGGGGGCTGCGGGTGCCCGGGGAGGCGTAGCGCCCTCCTGTGTTCAAAGAAGGGAAGGAAGCAATTATGTTTTAGCAGCCACTCTGCATCGGAGAAGATTGATTTGTCCTTCTGATGTGTTGTTTCCATAGAAGCGGGGCTTAACCTTTTAAGTGAAGATTATGAAGCTACCTCATTCATTTAAAATTAGGCTTCAAGCATCTCGGTACTTAATGCTCAAGTGTTTCTGTGGGACTTGCTGTAGCCATTGATCTAACCGCCAGACACAGCCTGTGACTCTCCAGCATCTGAAGGCTCTCCTTCTGGTTTCTTTATTTTTAAAAACGAACTTCATAAAGAGATGCAACTCCTGGGGAAGATCACCAGAGTGTTAATAAATACCTTTTCATTAATGAATAACATTGACTTCTCTTCACAAACGCAGGAAGACAGGCACACAGGCGAGACACGTGTGCGTTCCATTAAAGTAATTTATTGTATTCTTCCAGGATGGACAGAAAGAAGAGAGTCTTGGGAGCTGATATCACAACACAATGTTATACACCATTTTCACAACTAGCTTGTGTTGAATTCTTTTTCAAAGAACATCGTAATTTTAAAAAATCTAAATATTTACATATTAATAAAACATATATACAGAAGATTGAGACATTACCCATAGATGTGGAATTTTTTTTTTTTTTTGCTAAGAAAGCCTATAAAAAGGATTTCTGAATAAAGTCTGAACAGTAGTCATAGTAAGTAAACACAAAGACGATCTTACTTTACAAAATATGATTTCAAGGTTGCAGTTTTGATACGCATTTCCAATTTGCGGATCCACTGCATGTGTCTGTGAGCCGACCAATCCCCAACCCACCTCAAGTACTGAGAACCCCAAGACGTGGCCTCCGGCTCGAAGGAAATGCTTCTGAAGGGTCACGGTGCGTATTTAACAGAGCCCACAGTTGTGAGTAAATGCTTCTACCTTTATAAGCAACATAGTCATCATGTGTTAACAGAGTGAAAGGTCACTCATTTTTTATTCCCTCGAGAAATGTTTCCTTCTGTCAGGCAGAAGGCAAATTGTACAACACAGGCTGCAGCCCCCCCCGCAAAAGCCCTGGTCGTGGTACCTCATCACAGCACTTGATGAATAAGGGGACCGGCTTCAGGACAGGATTACCTACTGGCCAGGAACAGAAAAAGTTAACTCACAGGAATGAAGGAAGTCGTTTCTCTGAGCCTTCCTTGCAGCTCCAAAAAGAAGAAAAATAAGACACACACACATACGGGATGCGACTTGACTGGTCATTAGATTAACTCCCTAAGCCACACCTCAAGCCAGTTTTTGGTCACGTGACAGGGCTGCCTCGTGTCCTCTTCAGTGGGCCAGCTGGTCTTCAGTGGAAGGCAGGTTTGTGCCAGAGCGGCTCTCCTACCTCCAGGTTTAGTTAGACGGGACACACGTACCTTGAACTGAGGAAACGGGGGTCCTCTGGTGGGGCCCAGCCATGGAAGGGTTAGCTGGCCCTGGGCAACCACTTACCCTCCCTCCTCCTCGGCGTCCCCATCTGCAGAATGGGGGGCGGGACTGCATGGCCTCTACAACAACTTTGGGTTTGAACATTCTGTGCTCTGATAAACCAGGGCAGGGAAAGACATTCGACCATCAGCACAGCAGTTCTGAACCCAGCATCTGGGGCCTCTGCCGTCCCAATTTCTTTCATGCTAATTTTTGGCTTTTGGGTAAAGTGCCAAAGATTCAAGTCAATTTGCGTAGTACAATAAATTAGGCGTCAATGCAATGCTTCTAGATAAAATGATATTTAATTTATTTTTAAAATGAGGTCTCACTACGTTGCCCAGGCTGATCTTGAACTGCTGGGCTCAAGCCATCCTCCTGCCTCAGCTTCCCAAAAGCTGGGATAATAGGCGTGAGCCACCACACCCGGCTTAAAATGGTATTTTAAATTCACCATCTTATTAGAGAAAGACACCTGGAGGTAAATATTTCCGTAAAACAAATACCACATGGTAAGACAGCTCTTTAAAATAAATCCAGATTTTCATATGTTGTTTTTATATAGAGGGCAAGTGTACTAGGAAACAGATAAACTACATGATATTAAGTACATTCGTGGCCAGTTGCCACACAATGTCAAAACCCTGGACCACTCAGCTAAAACCATCTGTTAAAATGGTTGCTAGGGATCATGTAGAAAACTGATTGCTTTGAGCTTCTCACCTTTTAACTAGTTATTTTGTCTTTGTGTTTATGCAACTTAGGTGACAGGTTTTTCTTTCCTAAGAATCCATAGGTCATTCACACTCAGTTACAAGAGGCTATTTTGGGGGTGCTGACGTCATAAATGATTTCATCTAAAGGGTCAGAGCTAGTCTGTCGCCCCAAGCAGCTTTTTCATCTTCTGGGCTGATGAAGGCCTAATTAATTTTGGCTTTCACAACTGGTCTCTCAGTATTGGAAAGAGCCATGCTCCTTGATACTGCATTTAAGCAATTTACATTAAAATAAATATCTTCCAAGCTCTAAATATTCACATTGAGGTTTTGAATAAAAACAGGGAAGAGGGAGTTGCTTCTTCATCACGGACAATGAACTAACTGGATCGTATGCTGGACTTTTAAAGGGTGACAAATCAACTCATGAAATGATTTTTTTAAAAAAATCTCATACCAAACCGGAGCCTTGATTATCACACATTACAAAGAAAGTATATGAAACTATTCAAACGTGACAGGCAAACTTCACAGAAGACCCACACTTCGCAGGAACCTGAAATGCAACGTGGAGCTTTGAGGAAATTCAAATGGAAGAGTCACATACGCCAGCGAACAATGTCACTACAAGGGAAGTCTAGGCAATGAAACCTGGGTCTGTGTCCTCCGTGTTTTCTCTCCTGGTGTCAAATATGTTACCTACAACAGAGACAAAAAAAATGAAGGGGGAGCACCGCTTCTCTAAGGAAGAGCTAGAGGCTTTTCTACAACGTGGCTGGGGTGAGGCGTCCTTGGCAAGTGAAAAACTTACCAGGGAGGAGTCTGTGTTTCAGAGTTCGGTCACTAAGCTTTTAGCCAAGGCTTTGGTTGTACTAAATGAGCAATTGTGGAAATCAGAAATTTTTAATAATTATTTTTTACAAGAAAACCCACGACTGTATGTATGCCCACATATTGTCCAGTAATATAAAATGGCTAAATAAAATAGGATGTACCTGATCAACAGAATATCATGAAGCTATTAAAATAATGCATATGAAGATTTAGAATAAAACGAAAAATGCTTTGTATGGCTAAAACAACAACAACAACAAAGTTGTATGTGTTTGATTTCCATTTTATAAACAAATAAAATAAATATAGAGAAAAGTCTGGGAAGAAAATCCAGTAATGATCATCTATGGGTGGTAAAGTCAATTTAAATGTTCTTCCTTTGATTTATTAATTTTTAGAAAGAAAAATTTGGAAAAGAATGCCAATTTATGACAATGATTGCTAAGTTAAGATGAACATCACCCAATTTCAAATCTAGAAGCCCTACTTTAAATTTTAGGAAGCACTGTTTTGATTTTACTTTCTATATATATTTTTAAATGCAAATGATTCCCAGCTCCTGGGTGCACTTTTCTTGGGTACCCAGGTGCACTCTGCACATCTGTGCTGCAGGATTTATGCAACTCTTCTGCCTCTCACAGCGATTAGAGGGCAGGCATTTGTACACCAGAACCCAGCGTTGCTGATTCCTGGTAGTTGCTGAAAAACGTTTTGCTGGGTAGGGTTGGGAAGAAATACACACAAAAAATACATTTCTCCACTATAGAATCTGCATCCATTTTTGCGAAAACCTGCCAAATAGAAAGTCTGCTTAAATGTTGTGGATTGAGACAGATGTCACCTGACTTTCTGACTAATCCTGCTCTGGTCAATTCTGGTCCTAGGAACACTTAAGGATTTGCACTCCCTTCCGCACCCCTCCCCAACACACACAAATTTGGAAGGAGGAAAAAAGACCTTAAAAAGGTCATAAAGGCATTGTTGAATCTTTCAAAAGAACTAATTGTTGCCAGCTCAGATAAGCAGGATAATAAAAGTCTGCATCAGAGCCCTTGGTTGCTTCTGTGGTTCCAGCAAGTGAGGCTCAAGTTCAAGGACAAAGCTGCATGAGCAAGAGAGGTGGAATTCACCACTCAGCCAGTTAAGACACATGTAGGAAGGGGTATTAGTATTAATAGAACTGTGTTCGAAGAACCAGCCAGATTGGGAGTTTACTTGGAGAGGCACTCAGGAGACATGCTAGACAATAAAGGTTATTTAATTTTATTACTGCAAAATTTGAGCACAAATGTGCAACTTCTTTTCCTCTTTTATAATGATAGATGTTTTTTATTTATCATGCTGTTGAGTAATTTGTATCAAATATCTACCAACAGTCTAGTGAAACGACCTGCAGGTGTGTTCCACCACTTGCTTCATGAAGACCTCATAGCCTTGGGCAACATTTGGGAATGAACGTGAATATTCAAGTTTAAACTGCAGTGAACTTGGGGTAGACTCATGTCAAGCATGCTCACTGTGAAGACTGAGACACAGAACCAGACCCCTGAAGGGATTAGTATACCCATCATCTCCTAGGGTCTTTTAGGATCTATATATCGCGGCTGGGCATTGAGAGGCCTGGGAAAGTCATTTAATGTTTCTGGGCCTCCGGCTCTTTTCCTTGTAAAATAAAAGGACTGGATGTAAAAAAGGGATTGGACTAGATGATCTCTCAAGTGTTCCTTCTCATTCTCAGATTCTGTGCCATTTTTTCAGCTCTGTGAGGATGATCTAACATCGCCTGTGCTCAATTTTCTCATTAGAAACATGTCTACTTTCATCTTCAGACAGGAAAATGCAAAGGTATTACTTCAAGGGGAGTGGCTTTCAAATAACAAAACAAAAGTCCCGTGGTGTCACATGACACAGGGAGGCCAGGCAGTGCAGATGCCCCAGGACAACTGGAGGGACACCCTGGAAGCACAACTAGAAAAGCCTGGTGTCTTCCCACAGGCCTCCAGAGCATGCAATCACATTATTTTAATTAGTTTTTCCTGCATCTACTGGGAATGGGCGGGGGCTGATAAGAATAAGGCTGATGTGAGTTGCCTGATACTCAGAGAATGACAGATTGGGAAGAAACAACAGAGATCACTCACTGCAATTCTCTTAATTCACAAATGTGGACACACAGCCAAACAAGGAGAGAAATCCTTTTTATATAATGACTATCTACGGTAAGAACTTGATAGAAGCAGGTCCTTTTTGCACTGTGTGGCTCATTTCATTTATTTGTCCATCGATCTGTTGCTCAGCTACTCATGACAGAGAAAGCAATGTGTCACTTACACGGCTGAGCTTTCTGGCTGCCCACAAGTTCACTAACACATGGCCATCCTACACCCATGACCTTGCCTTCCACGGCCATCTCGGGATATGCACTGTCAATGAACACACGATCTAGAGTTCCTACACAGACTAGATACTCCACGAGTATTTGTTGAATTTAATTAAAGACAACCCACCCCAAACCTAGAGGAAAAATACATTGAGTTGAGCTTTTTCAGTTAGAGGGTGTTGGGAGAATCTTCAGGTATTCTTTTGAGGACGTCAATAGAGTCCTGAGACCAACTAAGCGAATCAATTGACCCTCTGGCTCTGAGATTCAAGCCGATACAAGGCTGAAGGCCAGGGTGAGAAGCACTACCTGAGAGTCAAATAATGTGAAGTCAGAATCACGTCCATGACCTAACAAAACAGCGTGCAGCAAATGCTTCAGTGAGATTGTCTTCGGTGATCCAGTCATAGTATGAGGAATGTGCCACTCATGTTGGGTGAACCGGCTTATTCAACCACACAATTAACACACAGTATTCACTGGGTGCCCGATAAGTGAATGCTCAAGGCTCCAAGGCCTTTCAGAAGCGGCGGAAGAGGACAGACTCGGCATGAATTTGATCACACAAAACTGGTGGACCCTGTTTTGAAGTGAAATCTCATTTCCTGCTAAAGTATCTGTTAATCCAAAGGCTTGGGGAGCAAATGTTGTGATACTTAGTTCATAAGATTTGCTCTTGTGAGATTTTTATAAATATGAAGCAAGGTGTCAGAAAAATGCAGGTTTTCGTGTGGTTTTTTTTGGGGTTTTTTTTTTGAGTTGGGGTCTCACTCTGTTGCCCAGGCTAGAATGCAGTGGCCCCATCACAGCTCACCGCAGCCTTGACCTCCTGGGTTCAGACAATCCTTCCATCTCAGCCTCCTGAGTAGCTGGGACTCCAGGCATGCACCACCATACCCGGTTGATTTAAAAAAATTTTTTTGGTAGACATACACGGTCTTGCTATGTTGCCCAGGTTAGTCTCAAACTCCTGGGCTCAAGCAACCCTCCTGCTTGGTCTCCCAAAGTGTTGAGATGACAGGCATGAGCCACCACGTTCAGTCTTTTCATGCTTTTTCTAATCAGTGTAAAACATATCTCCAAACACAGGGCCTTGAGAAGCTCTGATGACTAGGGTCTGGGTCTGGTACAGAAGCAGTTTGCTCAAGCTTGTATCCCTCTAACGTTAAAAGCATTTTTAATGCAAATACTTTTGTGTGCTGTATTTTCCAGCAGGTGGTGAAAATGTAGATACATTTTATTTACCTGTTGGTGGTACAGAAATGCTGTCCAGTCTTTCATCACCGTCAGCTACCTCTGCTGGTTACAAACATAAAACACAAATCTCATTAGTTCCAGGGAGCACATCCATTTTACTGAAAACAGTAATGCAATTAAAGAAACTCCAGTATACACAATATTTTCCACCGTTCTTTTTCCCTTTCAGCTACTGCTGCCTCACATTACAGATTTTTTTAATCGTTATTTAAATACAATATTTTTTGGTGAGGATAATGATATAAAAATCAATTTTCTTGTACTGAAAATTTTCTTGATCTTATGAACCTTATTCTATCAGCCATTGATTTCAGTTCATTTTCACTTATTTACATAGGCTGCAACACCCAAGCAGTATCTGGGTGAATTGTTTAAACATGGTCACTGAAGGTGCCAGTGACTTCCTGTTGGGGATTGCACTTGTTACCCCAGACTCATTCCTGGAGTACAGCTTCAGAAATCTGGAGACCGAGCCTTTTGTTGGAGCTGCTGATCTAGCTTTGACATCAATTCAGTCATGAAGCAATATGCATTTCTTCAAAAGAGTCTTGTTTCTATGTTTTAAAATGCAAATCTGGCCAGATGCAGTGGCTCATGCCTAATACCAGCACTTTGGGGGCCAATGTGGGAGGGTTGCTTGAGCCCAGGAGTTCGGGACCAGCTGGGTAACATAGTGAAACCTCGTCTCTACAAGAAATAAAAAAATTAGCCCAGTGTGGGAGTGTGCGCCTATAGTCCTAGCTCTTCAGGAGGCTGAGGTGGGAGGATCACCTGATCCCAGGAGGTCGAGGCTGCAGTGAGCCATGATCATGCCATTTCACTCCAGCCTGGGTGATAGAGTGAGAGCTCGACTGAAAAAAAAAATCCTTCCATTAAATGCAAAAAAAGTGTCCCTATGCCTCCTGAAAACGGATAGGCTTACTAGTTTTCCTTAATATACTAGGGACAGGGGAAAACATTGCATTATGACCCTGGGATAATTTTGGTGGTGCCCTCGCGTCCCAGGGCCAGAGGTCCCCCCTGGAAGCTCCCTGCTAACTGCACATGTGTGTGTGGGGTTGCCCTTATGAGCCTGGTCAAATGCAGGCGGGCTTTGGCACCACGTTGTAATGCTGAGTTGGTGGAAATCAAAATTCAAACGTTGTTTTTTTTTTTTTTTTTTTGAGTTGGAGTCTCACTCTGTCACTCAGACTGGAGTGCAGTGGCCGCTTCCGGCCACCACAACCTCGACCTGCTGCCCTCCAGCGATCCTTCCGCCTCAGCCTTCCGAGTAGCTGGAATTACAGGCATGCACTACCACGCTCAGCTAATTTTTTGATTTTATTGTAGAGATGAGGTCTCGACTGCCCAGGAGGGTCTTGAACCTGCAGGCTCAGGCAATCCATTCACCTCAGCCTCCCAAAGGCACGGGATTACAGGCTGAGCCACCAAGCCCCGATATGTTGTTGTTTTTATTGTTGCTGCTTTAAACACAATCAGGCTTAGTATGGCTAGAAATGTTCAAGGATTTCCACCCGTTGTCCATCTTCGAGCATCCTGTCTTCAGATGGACACACACGGGCACTGGTGAGAGACTTGTCTGCTGACCTCAGAAAAAAAAATCGCACAGAAGAGATGGGATATTCAAGACCAATTGAGGCTAGAGAAGATAAGAGACCACTAAAAGTAAAGATGAGTATTTAATAACATACAAATATGCAAGTCAAACACTAGGGTAGGTGGCATGATTAGAATTTTGTAAACAGGTTTATAGAAAAATAAAGGGTATACTAAAATGTTAACTGTGTTTCCCTCTGGATGAGAGACTTTAGGCATTTTAAATCTAACTCTGTGGGTTTTTAATTTTACATATTAAAAATAATGAACATAGCCGGGCTCGGTGGCTCAGCCTGTAATCCTGCGCCTTTGGGAGGCTGAGGTGAGTGGATTGCCTGAGCCTGCGGGTTCGAGACCCACCTGGGCAGCGAGATGTCATCTCTACAATAAATAAAAGAATCAGCTGGGCGTGGTAGCACGTGCCTGTAATTCCGGCTACTCGGAAGGCTGAGGTGGAAGAATCGCCGGAGCCCGGCAGGTCGAGGCTGCAGTGGCTGGGAGCGGCCACTGCACTCCAGTCTGGGCGACAGAGTGAGACTCCAAAAAAAAAAAAAGAATATATTTTTATATTTAGAAGACAGTTATTTTCTCCTAATTCACTGAGTGAATTGGAAAAGATAGTCGATCTCTATGGCAGTTCTCTCATTGCCCAGGGTTTAAAAGATTCTTCCATAATCATAAATAATAATAATGACAATGATGATAACCACCACCACTTATTAAATGCTTACAAGGTACTGAGCACCTTACATGCAATGTGTCATTTAGATCTTAGAAAGCCTTAGTGGTGGGTTTGTTGCTATGTGCATTTTAACAAATGCAGAAACTGAGATACAGAGAGGTTAAGAAACTTACCCCAGGTAACACAGCTAGTGAGTAACAATGCCAAGGCTGTGAATCAGGTTACTGTCTGGGCTTTTAATCTCTTTGCTATTAATAGTACAAATATACCATATATATCATTATAAGCTAGTTTTAAAAATATTCATACTTTATTTTTGCAATTTATTTATTTATTTGGGTCGGAGTCTAACTCTGTCACCCAGGCTGGAGTGCAGCTGCATGCTCACGGCCACCGCAGCCTCGACCTGCAGGGCTTAGGTGATCCTTCTGTCTCAGTCTTCCAAGTATCTGGAACTGCAGCATGTGCCATCACGCCTGGCTAATATTTTTATTTATTGTAGAGATAAGGTCTTGCCAAGTTGCCCAAGTTGGTCTCAGATTCCTGGGCTCAGGCAATCATCTCATCTCCACTTCCCAAAGTGCTGGGATTATAGGCGTGAGCCATCATGCCCAGTTATTTTTCAAATTTATTATTATTACTATTAGAGACAGGGTCTCATTTTGCGCCCCGGCTGGAGAGCAAGGACTCAAGTGATCCTCCCACCTCAGCCTCCAGAGTAACTGGGATTAGAGGCAACACCTACCACATCCAGCTAGTTTTTTCTAGGATTTTTTTTTTAGAGACAGGGTCTCACTATGTTGACCCAGGCTTGGTCTTGAAGTAGCCCCAAACAAACCTCCTGCCTTGGCCTCACAAAGTGCGGGGATTACAGGTGTGAGCCACTGCACCTGGCTATTTTTAAAATTTATTATTATTATTATTTGTACAGACAGGGTCTCACTTTGGCACCTAGGTTGAAGTGCAGTGGCACAGTCATAGCTCACCACAGCCTTGACCTTCTGGGGTAAAGCAATCCTCCCACCTCAGCCTCTTAAGTAGCTGGGACTACAGGCATGGCCCACCACATCCAGCTAGTTTTTTCCTTTCTTTTTAGAGACAAGGCATAACTATGCTAACCAAGCTGGTCTTGAACTCCTAGCCTCAGGTGATCCTTCCATCTTGGCTTCTCAAAGTGCTAGGATCACATGATCCATGGTGCCTGAGTCTTTTTAAACTTTAGTAACTCTCTTTTCATGCATATTTCATTCAGTTATAACAAAAATCAGTTTTGGGTATAAAGTGATCTTTCTTTTGTAATTCAGCTATACTCACTTTTTAAAAACAGGCTCACGCTATTATGTGCTTTGGTAAGAACAGAACACATGCAACCCAAATATACATATAAATTATAATATACAAATTAATATATGCTAGCTGCATGAACAGGGGCCAAGAGTCGTAGAGGAAGAACATCACTGGGGTTTTCAAATTTAATTATATCATCTATCTATAACAACAGGCTCACAATCTTTCTTCACAGGTGACAATCAAGTTGTGAAATTTGGAAAAGATTGAGCAAGTCCCAATAAAAATTTAATAGCAGTGACATCTTTATTCTGAGATCTAACACAAATAATAAATTGTGATTTCGGCTCTGAGAAAATCATCTAATGAAAACGATAAAAATCCACACCAGGAAAGGAATCATTCCAGTTGTAGAAAGAAAATGAATGCGTGTGGCAAGAGCCCCAGATGAATTTCTATTTGGATTCACGTAACGACCCTTCAGATCTGTGTGGGGCACTTGGTTTTTCCAGAAGCAGCGCGGGCTTCTTTAAGTGGTTACTTGATTAGTTTGCCCAGCCAGAGTCTCTACCTAATTCCAGGAATGGAGCCAGATATGATAAATAAGGTGGAAGTTGTGCGGTATCTATGAGGCACTGTTGGATTATCATTTAGAACAAAAATAATCAAGACAAAAGCACGAGAGCAAGTGATATTATTGATCCAGACTGCTCAGCTCCCATCAGCATCAGGAGGGAGGTGCAAGGGGCCCCCGTTTCCATCTGCTGGGCCCCACTTCTGCGTTGTTGGTGGAGAATGGTGTGTATTTGACAAAATTGGGAGCCAAACTCTCCTTGGCAGGTCATTGCTGATGTGCGATCACTTGGGTCTGTGTGCCAGGGATGGTTCGGTCTTACAGCAGCCTTCCACTTCCCAGTCGCTCACAGAACCTGCTAGAAACGCAGAAGAGAAGGGCCAAGGTGCCAATCACAAATATCTAGGCAGATCATCTAAACCCGTGGTCAAAAGTTACAATGTCCTACGTGGAATATTCGGATGCCCAGGGGGCAGGAGGACAGTCTACCAAGGAGGCAAAGGCCCCTCGACAAGGGGGAGGGTGGGGTGCAGGCTACAGCTGGGGTCCCCTTATTCTTCAGAAACAGGCCAATGTGAAGGGAAACGAACATTTGTGATTGAATGCTCATTTTTTAAAATTTTATTTTTTGTAGAGATGACGTCTCGCCATGCGGCTCAGGCTGGTCTCAAACCCTTGGACTCAAGTGGTCCTTCTGCCTCTGCCTCCCAAAGTGCTGGGAATATGGGTACGAGCCACTGCGCTCGGCCTGGGATGTGAATTATTAATAGAGACTCAACATGGTTGAGAAATGTGTCCCCTGGCCAGTCTGCTTGTGGAAAGAAGAGGCAGGTGGACGCACCCCCAACGGAATGTGCGTGTGGTTTCTGGTGGGATGGAGGGAAGGGAATGGAGACCAGAACTCTTAAGACTCAGCCTCAGCCTCTGACAGTAGGAGGAGAAGCGTGTTTCTGTATAAGACACGCAGCACCAGGAAGGCACCTGAAGGACAACCCTGATTTGCACTTCCTGTTTCAGTCCCATGGCCCAAGCCAACAAGGCTGTTTCTGGGTCCCGGCCTTCTTCAGTATCTACCACTTTTTAGGACTTCTACCTTCAAGGGTTTCTCTCAGAACCCTTTAGGGACTTGTAACCATGCTCCTCAGCCAGAGGCCACTGTTCTACAATACAAAGTCCCTTCTTCCTTTCTCTGGGTGGTCTCTGTGGCACTTACGTGAGTAACACCAATATTCTGGGTTCATACGAGAGGAAACCCCAAAACGCTCTGATTTTATTGATATAAAATTGTGTATTTATTCTTTTTTTTTTGAGTTGGAGTCTCACTGTCACCCAGGTTGGACAGCAGTGACACGCTCCTGGCCACCGCAGCCCCGACCTGCTGGGCTCTGGCAATCCTTCTGCCTCAGCCTTCCAGGTAGCTAGAATTACAGGCACATGCTACCATGCCCAGCTTTTTTTTTTTGATTTATCATAGAGATGAGGTCTTGCCAAGTTGTCCGGGTGGGTCTCGAACCTGCAGGCTCAGGCAATCCTCTCGCCTCGGCCTCCCAAAGTGCTGGGATGACAGGCTGAGCCACCGAACCCGGCCATGCGTTTATTCTTAAATGTTTAAACTTCAGTCACCTTCAGAGTACTCTCTGTCTGAGGCAATACGCCTACTGAGACGCTTTTTCCATGGCTCAAAACAGTTTTTGAACTTGTCCATTTTGACGCATTTAGTGCTTCTGCCGTTTTTTGTTTCACCTCTTCCATATCAGCAGATATTTCCCTTTGAGGACTTTTTTCTGAATAGGGAGGGAGGATCACAGGGATCATGCCCCTTTTGGTCAAAAAATGTTGAACGCAGCGCATTGTGGGCAGGTGCGCTAGTAAATCACCCATCATGAAATAGGAATGCATTGGAAGAATCTCCAAAAAAAAAATTTCACTGAAGCCAAATGCAGCCTCTCCCAACAACGCTAACTGGAACACTGATGGCGATGGGGTCCTAGAACACTCGCCTAGAGGGAAAGCCTGTATAAGGGGTCCACCCTCCAAATGATAATTCCGGTTTTTTTAGGTCCCCCTTGTACAATTCTTTCACCTTACACTCCCAAGTATTTCTCACACGCTCTTGTTTACTCCTATAAAGTAGGGAAGGTACAGATGCACGCATGGGCATTTTGCTGACCGCACCTTGGGCTGGCAGGAAGTTGGTGACACAGCTGGGACCAGAGCGGGAGAGAGCCAGAGGGAGCTGGGGGGCTGGTTCTGGGTGCTGTGGCCTTTCTGGATCTCTCTCAAACCTGAATATTCTATTTCGTGTCTCTTCTGTTTGAGGGTCAGAAATTTCACCCTGCAAGTCAACAGCTGAGTGAAATTGTTTCATATGCGAACAGTCCAGACGCCCAAGTAGGATCCAGGGAACACAGACCCACTAAATACTTATTCACATGGATACCACTCAGGTCTAGGAACTTGGGGTATTGAGGAGACGCCATACCCAGCATTGACATGGGGGCTCAGCCAGGGATGACTTACTGGAAAAACCTGCGGGGCACCCTCTTTGATAACACTCTGTCATCCAACCATAAATGCTTCTTCTTTTCACTTCCAATCTAACTCCTCCCCAGAGCCTGAAACGTGGGGTGGGAGGCCTAAAAGAATAAGGGGGCTTTTGTGATGTCTCTCAAGGCAAAAGCAGGAGGTCTGCAGTATAGTAAGTTTTAAGAGTCATGCTAGCAGGAACTGAGCTTCTGAGATGTTTTCCTGATAATCTTCTGAGTGAGGTCAGGCTTCCATGATGCGAGACTCTGGACTTCTCCTTTGGGAGAGGATGGGAGAAGAGAAGAAATTGGGAGAGAGCCAGAGGACTAAGGAGATAGGGGCCAGAGAAGGAAGTGAGAGGACAGAGATGAGGAGGAGAAAGCGAGGGGGGCTCCAGGCCAACTGGAAGGCATCCCCAGGAGTCCTAAGGACTTTGTTTCCAAGGACAGAGCTCAGGAACATTGCCACCCCCTGGGTTCTGGAGGGAATGGGATACAAATTTGGACCTCAAGTAAGGAAGTAATGACAGATTCTCCAGGCTCTCAAGTGACTGTGACCAGGCGAACAATAAGACTTCTTTGTTGTGGGCCACTGCCTCTTCTTTTCTGGAATTACAGATTGACTCATTGGTCCATTCAACGAATATTTCTCGAGTGTCAGCCCTATGTCCCAACTCTGTGCTAGTCACTTCGAACACACACATGACTCAGATGCAGGCCCTGCTCGTGAGGATCGCGTGGTCCAGGGGAGGAAACGGTATAACTGTTCGGTGGCAAAAGGTTCAAGGCCTGGGGCCACCTCTGAAGGCTCCAGGAAAAGGGCACCTTGGCGATGCTGGTGGGACCAGCACATTCTGGAGACAGGGAAGCCTAGGATGGCTGCAGGAGCCTGAGCCTGCAGTGGGAGACGAGGCTGGTGAGGAATCCAGGGTGGGCTGGGAAGGAGTTCACCTAAAGAGGATCTGTTGGAGATTACGATGGTTTGGATGTGTCTCCCCAGAAAGCACGCATTGGAAAATTAACCCCCGAGGCAGGAGTGTCAGGAGGTAGGGCCTGACAGAGGGTAATTAGGCCACGGGGATCTGCCCTTACAAATGGATTAAAGCAGTGATCACGGGACTGGGTGTGTTACTGCAGGAGTGGGTGTGTTACTGCAGGAGTGGATTCTTAATGAAAGGGCAAGTTCAGTCTCTCTCTCTCTCTCTCTCATAAATTACTCAGTCTGTGGTATTCTGTTATTGCAGCACAAACAAAGCCAAGAGCTACAGTCTCACGTACTTTATAACATTGCTCCCTTATGCCTCCGTCATATCTAGAATATATGACAGTTCAGCCTAAAGTCACCCGCCAAACTGTCTCACACTCTACCCAGAGGCTTAGAGGGCCAGGTGCCCTGATACTTGACCTGGATGTTTTCATTTTGTTTATTTATTTGACAAATAAAAACTGTATATACTTATGGTGTACAACATGTTTTGAAATATGTATACATTGTGGAATGGCTTCATTGAGATAACACACATTACTTCATACACTTCTCTCTTTGTGGTAAAAACATTTAAAATCTACTCTCTTGGCAATTTTCAGGTATATACTGTTATTAACTATTGCCACCACATTTGTACAATAGATATTTTGAACTTGACATCCTGTGTAACCGAAATTTTGTTTCCTTTGGCCAACATCTCCCCAAGCCCCTGGCAACCACCAGTCAACTCTGTTTCTGTGAGGTCTATGCTTTCAGATTCCACATATAAGTGAGATCATGTGGTACTTGCCTTTCTGTGCCTGACTTGCTTCATTTAATATAATGTCTTTTGGGTTCATCCACGGTGTCACAAATGATAACATATCCTTCTTTTTAAAGGCTGAATAATATTCCACTGTGCATACACCAAATTTTCTTTTTCCACTCATCCACTGGTGGACAGTGTTGATTCCATCTCTTAGCTATTGCGAATAGGGCTTCAGTGAACATGGGCGTGCAGGTGTCTCTTCAACATACTGACTTCATTTCCTTTGGATATATATCTAGTTGTGGGATTACTGAGTTATATAATACTTTTTTTTTGAGTTAGAATCTCACTCTGTCACCCAGGCTTCAGTGCAGTGGCACACTTACAGCATTTGCAGCCTTGACTGGTTGGACTCAGTCGATCCTTCGGCTTCAGCCTTCCAAGTTGCTGGAACCACAGGTACGTGTCACCATGCCCAGTTAATTCTTTAAAAAATTTATTTATTGTAGAGTCAATGTCTTGTCAAGTTGCCCGAACTGGTCTCGAAACCCTGGACTCAAGCAATCCTCTTGCCTCTGCCTCCTAAAGTGCTGGGATTTCAGGTGTAAGCCACCATGCCCTACTGATACTTTTATTTTTAAATTTTGAGGAACCTCCACACTGTCTTCCATAATGGCTATACTAATTTACATGGAATTTTAGAAATAATACCTAGAGATCTGTGGCCTCTTAAAGATAATTATTCTTAAATGATGGGAGAAAACTGACTTCCAAAGGCTTCCTCCCCAGTAAATTGGCCCAGGACTCTCTGGGGAGACTTCAAATGACCAAGCCTAAACTAAATAGTCACAATTCAGCGGGTGTTTTCACTTTTCCTGGAAGAATAATCTCAGAATTGCCAAGCCCAGAATTTTAAACACACACACACACACACAACACACACACATACCCCTCTTTAAAATCCCTTTCTACTCGATGTGGTGTTTATCGTAGGATGATGACAGCTATTTTTTTTTTTTACCTTAAGCAACTTGTACTTTTACAAAGTCATGCGGTCCAAACAAACAAAAATCAATAGACAAATAAAAGCAAACCACAAAAGAGAGATCCAGTTCTTATCCGTAAGATACATTAGGCCACAAATGAGATTAGCCATCTTTTTTCACTTGTACTATTCAAAGCATGACATAATTTCTACTCTTTAGACTTAAAGTGAGTTTCAAAATTCATTAGCATGAGACTTTAAGAGCGTAAACCATGGTGTATGATACCGAGAGCTCTTTCAAAAGACACCGAAATACCCTGGAGCCAAGTATTGCGTGTCATAAAGTCCAAGAACTCAAAGTGCTTCTGCAACTCTTTTCTTGCTAATTCATACCTGAGCCTCTTTTTAACCTCCTTCTGGCCAGTTTAATTTGATCCTGCAGAATCTGTACCCAGTCTCTTGGGCCAGGAAGTTTATCCACATGGTTAGCTGTACAGTACTTCTCTGTGAAGACTGGAAGAAAATGAGAGACATTGTTAGATATGTTAACAAGGTGAATATGTAGCTATGAAACAAGATGACATCCCCCAAAGGAAAAAGAAGTGTATTTCTAAAGGATACCAGTTCTGTTCTATGTATCTTTAGTATCTGTCTTATACTCCTTTCACAAAGATGGAGATTGGCAGGACCTGGCTACATCCAATGTCTTATGCTTCACCGTGAAACTGGCTATAAGAGAGGGAATCTCCAAACTCCTGGAATTTATAAAAAATTGTGTATTTATCCTTACACGTTTAAACTTCAGTCACCTTCAAAGTCCTCTCTGTTTGATGTGATACACCTATGGAGAGGCTTTTTCCACTGCTCAAATCAGTTTTTGAACTCATGAATTTTGATGCCTTTTAGTGCTTCTGCCATCTTTTGTTTCACCCCTTTCCCATGGGCAAAATGTTTCCCTTTGAGGACTTTCTTCATCCCAGGAAACAAATAAAAGTCACTCAGGGTGAGATGGAGTGAACAGGAAGGGTGGGGTATGGAGGCCATGCCGTTTCTGGTCAAAAACTTCTGAACACTCAGCGTGGTGTGTGCAGGTGTGCTTGTAAATCGCCCATCATGAAATGGGCAAACGCATTAAACAATCTCCCCCCCCCCCGAAAAAATTCACTGAAGCTGAACACAGCCTCTCACAACAACACTAGCTGGTACACAGATGTCAGTGGGTTCCTAGAACACTTACCTAGCAAGGGAAGCCTGTACTATCAGAGGTTCACCCTCCAAAAGATAATTCTGGTTTTGGGGGGTTCCCTGGCAAATACTAAGTCTTATTATTATTTTTATTTTTAAATAAAAACAGTTCTTTCTGCTGGCTCCATAACCACATGTGTGTGTCTTACAGGCAGAGAAGATGATGCTTTCTTAGGGCCCCCGACCTCAACGACAAGGTTTAGCAAATGCATTAAAATCTTTCACTTTTGTGTTGTCAATTCAAAACTGAATGCAAAAGTGACAGAAAAGATGATGTCTTCATGGTGACTCCTACTCAATCAGTACTAAAATAAATAACGCGGTCATAATGCAAGTTCCGATTCGAGTCAGCCCCTTGGGGATTCCACGAGCTCCAAGGAAAGAACCACCCTATGAAGCACAAAAGAAGCTAAGGAGAATCAGATGACAGGACAAAAGGGAGGCAGGACAATTATCTTGGGAAAGCTGTGTGCAGTGTGTGGCCGCGCACGAGGCGCTGTGATGCTGACATTTCGGCCTCACACCCGCTCCTGGCCACTTTCAGACTCATCTTTTCAACCTGCTCTCCGTGAGGTCAAGATCAGGTATGCAGTCCCATCACACGGCCTCCTTGGTATTTAAAATATTGGTAATTTTAATGTTTGAAAAGGTGTCTTTTAAAGAGGAATGACAAAGGAAAATATTGACAGATTCCAGTACAGAAAAAATGCAAAATTTCTATTGAATGAAAAATAAACATCTCATTCGAATGAGAAAAGCTAATAGCGGCGCCAAATGTGACCAGAAAGGTTTTAATATCTACCACCAGATAAAGAGCTCATTCAAATAAAAAAACACCTTCAAAAGTCCCTATAGACAAATTAACAAAGGATGTTTAACAAAAAATCACGAGGAAAAATGTTAAATTAATATGTAAATCAAAGAACAGCAAGACACACTTTCTACCCACTAAATTAGGAACAGCATTAACAAGCTAGTACTTGATCTTAATACAATGGTGGGGACTTGGCAAGTCAGCTATTACTGTTGGTGTGTAAACAGGCAAAGCCCTTTTGGGAAATGAGAGGACTATTGAGCTAGAGACATAAAACGGTTATACCTTTGGACTGGTAATCTTACGCCCAGAAGTTTTCCCTAAAACAATTATTCGAAAGAAGAAAAGCCGGGCTCAGTGGTTCAGTCTGTAATCCCAGCACTTTGGGAGGCCGAGGCGAGTGGACTGCTTGAGTTTGCGGGTTTGAGACCAGCCCAGGCAACTTGGCGAGACCTCGACTCTACAATAAATTTTTAAAAGTTAGCCAGGTGTGGTAGCGCGTTCCAGCTACTTGGAAGGCTGAGGTGGAAGGATTGCTGGACCTCAGCAGGTTGAGGCTGCAGTGGCTGGAAGCGTGCAACTGCACTCCAGTCTGGACGACAGAGTGAGACTCCAACTCAAAAAAAAAAAGAAAAAAATCACATACGTGATCTCTACGGCCACATTTTTGTGCAGGAAGAGAGAAAGGTCACAGTGAGTGGGACAGATCTGAGGGAGGCCAGAGAGGATCGGAAATTCCCTGTTAGAAAGTTACTGCACCAGTCTTAGCTAGGGAAGCAGCAGGGCCTCTTGGAGGACTGGCAGTGTTTGGTTAACCAGCTGATACAATAAATAGAGAAGAGAAGAGAAGGAAGGTGTATGAGCTGACAGGGAGGATATGTTGCTTGATTTGACATATGCTGAGTTTAGGGTGTTCCTTGAGCACTCACGTGGAGTTGGCTAGCAGATACAGTCAGCCCTTGGTATCTGAGGGCATTTGCTTCCAGAACCCTCTGCGAATTCCAAAATCCAAGGATTCCCGAGTCCCTGACATAAAATGATGTATTTGTACATAATCAATCTAAGCACATTCTCCTGTATACTTTAAATCATCTCTACTTATAATACCTAACATGACATAAATGCTATGTAAATAGTTGGTATACTGCATTCGTTTAAAAATCTGTATTATTTTTTAACTTGTTTTGTTTTTTGACTTGGGGTCTCACTCTGTTGCCCAGGCTGGAGGGCAGTGGCAGGATCACAGCTTACTGCTGCCTTGACCTCCTGGGATCAGGAGATTCTTCTAGCCTCCCGAGGAGCTCTGGGACTACAGGCCCATGCTCACATACCTAATTTTTTTAATACTTTCTAGAAACGAGGTCTCACTGTGTTGCCTAGGATGGTCTTGAACTCTTGGCCTCAAGCAATCCTCTCACCTCGGTCTCCCAAATTGTTGCTATTTTTAAAAACATTGATCTGCAGTTGGTTGGTTGGTTGAATCCGGGGATGTGTAACCTGCGGATATGGAAGCTAGCTGCACCTAGACAGAGATGCCCACAAGTCAGGGAAGGGGCCAGGTTGAAGATACCAGCTTGTGTATACAGCACAAATGTATACATGGTAGTCAAAAGAGAAGTGGAAAAGCATTCACTAGAGAGGACACAGAGAGGGGAAAGAGTACTGGGCAGAGCTGAGAGCCCTGGACAACACCATGTGACAAGGAGAGGGTGATGGCAGAGGAGCCCAGGAAGTGTCCAAGAGCAGCTGGCCAGGCAGAAGGGTGGGAAGAACGGTCTTGGGATGCCCGCAAGTGGCTCTAATAAAGTGGGGAACCAGCAGCCTGAAGTGCAGACACGTGGTGGGAAGGGCGGCTCGGGCGTGCTCACTAGAGGTCATCAAGGTGGGGGGCAGTGGCCATAACACTCTCATGCCACTTGGCTGAAGGGGCGGGCACTGATGAGGGGAGCCAAGAGGACCAGAGGCCGGGAACCTGGGCATGGAGGATGAGAGTGGTGGGAGTATACAGGATCCGGGAAAGGGTCATAGGAACCACCTGGGGGCTGGGTTGGTGGGATCCAGGGGAGAAGTGAGGGGCTGACTCGAACAGCAGGGAAACGTCCTATGAGCTGGAGGGAAGGGAAGACAGGGCGACTGATAAGCAGTTCCATGCTGGAGGGATCCTTCCTGAGGCATCGGGTCACCCAGGGCGAACGGCCCTGCAGGCTGGAGGGGATGGGAAGCTTGGAATCATCTCTGGGAAGAGCTGGAAAGGGAGCGGGCTGAGGGCAAGTAACGAGGCCACCACGCCACAGATGCGCTACACGGTGTGGCCTCAGTGGTCCACACGGGCAGGCTGCTTTCTCCCTCCATCCCCTGCAGCTCCTTCAGGACACCGGAGGGCAGGGCTGGTTTAGGCTCAGGATTCTGCTGGACAGTTCTGGCAGATCAGGACTATCAAGTGTTTGAAGGTGCTGGGGAAGGTGTCCCCTGGAATGAATGAACTCACCTTTCCACTCCTTCCCGTCCCCTTCACCCCCAAATCTAGGAAGGAAGTGAAGGCAGAGAAAGTCTCATAGCCTTGGAGACATCACTAGAGATCAGGAACGGAGATATCAGTGGGGATGGCAGGGCTCGTGGAGATAGAAGAGTCCTCCCCTGAAACATGGGCATGTACAAAACAGCAGTGGGGCAGGGTGTGTGAAGATGCTGAGTGTGGCCAACGAGGTGGGGCCGAAATCTACAAGAGGTGAATGTCCCCATGGCTGAGGTCCTGACTCTATGTGGCTAGAGGGCCGGATGACTCCCTAGTGTGGACAGGGAAGTGAACAGGCTGACACAGGACCTGGGAGCGAGAGGCAGATGTGCAGCTATGAGAGTCTTAGTGGAAAGTTCTGTCGTAGCCCAGGTGGGTAGAGAAGTGATGGTTAGGAAACAGAATTAAGGATGGGCAGATGTCAACTGGTGTATGACACAGGGGCCCAGGAGAGTAAGCCATCTCTACCAGAGTATACATGACTTTGGGGTCTTCATGTCTCTTGTCACCCTCAAAGCAGCAACCATAGTGCCCTGCTCTGAATAAGAACTCAATAAACATTGGATAAACACACAAACATATTTTCCATTTTTGCTTCTAATGGAAGCAAATATAATCGCTCACAAATTGAGACTAATTGGGAGAAAAAATGGTCTATCTAAACTAGAAGGAAGTCTTAATTAAAAGGCTATATTTAAAGAAACAAGGTCTTATTACATTCAAATGTCCACAAGAATAGTGACTCCTCAGATAATTTCCAAAAGGTTCTTAAAGTCCTGTTTTAATGAACAGAACAAAATATTTATATTTAGCATCCTATTTGCTTATACGAGAATGTGTACCACAAAAATGACTGAATACAGCCTTAGCAGGTAAACATCCACCTCCTTATAATATTATTTATACAATTAATTTCCATAGCAACATCTCTTTTTTGGA